TTGTTGTCAGGCTAACGTTAAAGAGATCGTTTTAAACTAATAAATAAACTTATCAAAATAATATATAAACTTTGTTACTTAGATAATAACGTGTATTAAAAAAAGAGCAAACTGTGGAATATTGGTTATATATTATTAAATATAAAAAGATTGTATCAAAAAAATTTCATCGATTAATGAACTACTATAAAGTTCACTCTATTGATTACCTGATAGAATTCATGAAAAAAATTAGCGGCCATGTCCCGAAGTGCCTTAAAAATTTGTATTAAATCTGAAGGTTATTTGAACGTCCATTATTATTTTGTCTAGTATTTATAATAAGATCAACACTCCCAAAGTTTGTGTTTTTGTATATAAATATAGACTAATGATTATGTAATAAATACAAAACGGAACATTTTGTTAAGCTGTATATTATGATTACGTATAGTATACTATCTATCATTCTATCAATTATTTTCTTCGTAGACAAATTGTCCGGGTGCGCTGATAGAGCTGGTCGAAGAAGTCTATAATCTCGCGCTGTCAGGCAGAGGAGCACCAGGAGAATTAGGATTGGCGGTGGAACTTCACAGGGTACGGGAAGAACTGGAGAGCTCTCGGGAGCAGTGCAGGATACAGGAGGAGGAACTGAAGCGACGCGGCGATACTATCCTGGAGCTGACGAGCAAGTTGAGTGTCTGCGAGGCTGAACTGCGCGGTGCCAAGGAGGAACGTGATAGGGCGAGATGCGACATCGAGCATTCCGAGCTGACGAAGGACGAGATCGTAGCGAAGGCTTACAAGGTGCGAGATCAGGCAGTGGCCCGACAGAATAGGGTGGAGGTGGAGCTGGCTAGGACACGGATAGACATCTTACAGGCGGACAGTCAGCTGAAAGAGGCGATCAAGCAGAAGATTGAACTCAGTCAGCAGCTGGAACAATGGCAGATGGACATGCAGGCGCTTCTGGATGAGCACGTGCGAAGTAAACTAACTCCGACCTCGCAGATTGTCGCCACGAACGAGAATTCAGATATGTCGGCGCCGGCCAGGAAGAAGAGGAGCACTGGATCGACGAAGAAGATGTTCGGCTTGTTTTGACGAAAGTGACGCAGCGCGATGGCCTCGCTGCGTTAAGCCGAGTGATCGCGACTCACATAGACTTTGACTCCTGATTCCTGCGAATCAGCCATTCCGCATAAAAGAAACGTTAACGGAACGAAGAGATAATTGCGAAAAGAAAGTGAATTTAGGTATACTTATCTTTCTAAAAACCGTTCAATCTCGTGACGAATGGGATAGCATTCCCGACATCTTCTACTTTGTTACAGTCATTATAAATAATGCCATTTGCCAATCGCACGATTGCGATTTATGAACGAGCATCTGGGACTAATCTTAGACTAGCGGCTCTGTAATTAAAATTAGCAGCTCGACCGGACACGTCCAGCAATCCTTAAGAGATTGGATACCACGCGTTTGATCCATTTTTGAGCCATTTTTCAGAACCTGCTTAAGATAAAATGAGATAGAATATGCATAAAATAAGATATCCATCTCTTTTTATCTTATGCATTTCATCAGAAGTTGTCTAAACGATATCCAATCTCTTACTTGAGGATTGTTCAAGTAACAGATCTCTCTTATTTGAAGATCTCAAGACACGTCTGGATTCGTCCGAATCTCGGGATAAATGTTGAAGCATCTCAGTGCGAGACATGACGCGTGCGAGAAACGTTCACGTTCTTTGCTCACAGCGAGGAGTCTATTACATCGATGCTGATGCTCGTGTCGAAACCGTAATTCGAATTTAAGTGGCGTCGCTTGCAGAAACAGGGACGTCCGACTTTCTACAATTCCTCAACTAGGGAAAGTTGCGGATCCCCAAACGTTCTCGACGTGTCCAATATTGTCGTCATCATATTTTTCACCTTCGTCTCGATACCCGCGTTTTCTGTCGGCCACTTTTTTATCAAGTGATCGATGTAATCCGGACTGCTCATTATCGCTTGACTTCGTAGACCGTTCATGCGAAAAGTATTAAATTGTGTTGCGACGCTAACGGAGTCAGTAAAATGGACAAGTCGTTATCGAAAAAAAAAAATCATCATTAACACGTTCTGTGCCGAACTACCCCCGCGCACAGAGCAGCTACGCATATATACAATATAGTAGCCATCACATACTATTCGTAGAACACTCGGAATGGAAAGTTCAACGTATATCATCGGTGATACACTTGGCATGGAACGTGTTAATGTTCTCTCCCCGAGAAATTAAAGTTCCGAGTGATGTATTTTCTCTTCGATAGATTTTCAACACGTCCAACCGACGTTTTTAGCTCAGGGAAATTTTTTGCATTATTCTAATTTCGTTCTTTCATTGTCCGCTTTCGAAGACTCCAGAAGAACAATTATGTTTCATTGATTGCAACCAATGAAATAATAAGATTAACTGATCACGGTCTCTTGCTTCACGCGGGCAGGTATTAATCGACTCAAAGGTGACGAAAGAAGTAAAGGTTTAATGTCCCGGCAAGACTGATTAGAATCGGCAAAGCGCAGCCGCTTTTTCTTCCGCGCGCGAAAACGCGTCCTGTCATTCTCATCATCGTGGAACGAATCGTTCTCCACGGTACGAACGATCTCCGAGTGGAAATTTCTTATTTCGAAACGGTCCCTGGCGTTTAGCTCAACGAATAATGAAACGGAATCACTTGGGGTATTTATCGTTCCGTTTTTTTTTTCGCGACGCAAGCGATATCGAATTCCTCTTGATACGAAACATTGTGATATGCTGTGTCTTACGTTATACTCGAAGAAGATTGTTATACGCCTTCTAACATTGCGGAAACATTTCTGTAAAAAATCAAAGATTATATTAGAACGGAAAATTAAAAGAAATTTTTTTAAAAATTTTGTTAACGGTTAAATCGCGAAAATAAATAGTAATTCGTAAGAAAATTGTATTTATTATGTATAAATATGTATTTAAAGATAGTCACGGGCTTGGATGACTTTCATTACACAGAAAGAACGTTTTAAAAATTTAACTAAATAGATCTGAAAATAATTTTGTTAGATCTTAAAAATAATTACATAGAACGCTCAAGCTGGCTGCTAGAATATCAACATTTTTTACATCATTCGTCATCATGCTCGAGTTTCTTACATAATTATTTGGATGACCAACAAAATTATTTTCAGATTTAGCTAAATTTTTATATACTTCAACAAAATCACTCTTTCCATGTATTGAATTTCCCGACCGGGAATTATTACTGTCCGTCCATCGTTCCGTCCGACAGGACCAATGAATTGTTCGTGATACAACGAGAAAAGGAAGGATGAGTAAGCGCTTGGAAATGAAAGTCGATCGATCCAGTCGCGATCATTGATACCTTAACGTGACGATAGTGCAATATCACTGGAATATTTTTACGATATTAATCGAATTGATGATTGCAACGACTGTTCCTTAAGAATTCTGCGGCACAGCAGACGATCGGTCTTGAGGAGCAACGATTGCGATGCGTTTGACAGTACGTGTGATTTTTCACGTGTAGACATTGCATGAACACGTGTGCGTTGCACATAGCAAATCGTTTGTACATTAATTTCCTTCCTTTTTTTTTCTTCGAGGCGAGCGTACCGCCGAAACTGTATAATAACTGTATAATTCTCGATCTGATTAACTACGACGTCGATATTTATTTAATAAAAGTCTGTTTTACGAATACCTTATGTTTCTGTCAATCTCTTTATCTACAGTTAATATATTACAGCCTAATATTACCTAATTCCCATTTTTATGAATGTAAATGAACTTTTTTTATCTCCGTTTATTTTATTCCTAATTCTTTAATTAATTTACTTTTTAATCTATTAACAAATACTTGTTAATTTACATATACTCGTTCATCTTTTTCTAATTCTTAGAAACTAGAAAAAAAAAATAGAAACTAAATCAAGATTAAAGTTAATTTTAGTATAGAAACAGAGGCACAATTCAATTTGCTTGTCTGGCGACTCGGCTTATCTTTTTTTCTGACTGTTCTCCAGCAAACTGGAAATAACGAGACACGTGAAAAGAAACAAATAGGCATTTATTCACAAGAGGCAGGTGTAGTTACAGTAGTTTCATTTCTGTCTTGCTTTTCGTATATATGTGTACATATACATTTGTATATGTATATATACACATATATATTTATATATTTATAATAGTATCTTATAAACCGACCCGTAATCACCGATCGGCTCAACTACGCAATACAAATGGGCATGAACAATGGGGGCGGGTGCATACAAAGTGTTTGTCCTCTCGCACACGAAACGCGCTGTTTCTATTTCCGTTTCGTCCTTCTCCTCCTTCATGTTCTTTTTTGGAAATTTTACTTTAAACGCAGCGAGATTCCACTTTATAAAATACTGTGTGTGTACGTATGTGTGAGTGTGTATCGTCAGATAGAACCTCGCTGCTCGTTCTTCACTTGCACGCTGGCGATTCGCCGTGTCCCGATCTTGACGAATCGCTCCAAATCGCGGACGTACTCGGAACTCAGGATGTCCTCGTCCCGCTTCTTCCTTAATTATGTGCTTCTCGCGGCACCTTAGGTGAGTATCGTTCAGAGGAGAGTGGTTCCAATCGGCCCGAAAGGGGTAAGTCAGCTTGTGAAATCGCGTAATCGCATATGAAAATGCAATACGTTGCTAAGTAGGAACCGATCGTCGATATAATACATAATAAAGGAAAGGACCTCTATCTCCAATTAATCGGCGATCCCTCTCTCTCGTACGATTCTCACCTCTTCCGCAAAGGTATCGGTGTGTGGTAACAATATATAATATATAGTATGACAATATACGACGACGGCGGTTCTTTAAATTTGTCCCCTATAGTAACGCGACGATGACGTGTGATCATGACAACAATGTAATAACAATGAGGCTTTTAGCGGCGATAGCGTGAATAATCATAGAGTAAATCCGTCAATCAATTCGTAATAATGAGGCGAGTCGTCGCGCAACGCGAGTCTCGCCGAATGTAAAGCGCTCCTCTCGTTTCGAAACGAATTAATCAATAGAGCAATTAGTGTAAAGGTATAGAGAGAGGTACGTACTCTTCTCAGGGTAGAGAAAGAGAGACAGAGACAGAGACAGAGACAGAGACAGAGACAGAGAGAGAGAGAGAGAGAGAGAGAGAGAGAGAGAGAGAGAGAGAGAGAGAGAGAGAGAGAGAAAGAGACACTATAATTATCGATGAAGCAATCGTGTTTCTTTTGTGCAGAACAACTCTTCTATCAGTAGATTCGCATTTCTTCTTCGTTAAGGGTATTACATGTCACGGTAAATACAGTAAGGTTCGCTATGCTATGTCAATTATAAGTGGCTCTTCGTCGTGTTTTCACCACTTGAAACCCACCCCCTTTCCCCTTCGCCCCTCCACCCTCCCAAGCTCCATCCAGTCCACCCCATCATTCGAGATTATATCCCCCGTGACGACGTGTCAACATCTATATAAAGAGACAGTTAAGCTATGCGCAATTTGTGTGAGAGTGTGTTAAGTTCTTCTCTCTTCCATACGTACGCGTTTTTATACACACGTGTGGCTGTATCTACTTGGGATCATGCGTGCACGCGCGCGTGCGCACGTGGTGTGTGTGTGTGTGTGTGTGTGTGGTGTGTATGTGTGTGTACGTGAATGCGAGTGACTGTC